CCTGGGCCGGCAGGGCGAGATACCTGGCCCGAGCCGAGCGGCCCGTCGCCAGGGAGACGATCATGCTGACGCCGCGGGGCGGTCGACCCGGCCATGGTAGTAGGCTGGTTGTTGGGCGGGCATCCACGCGGCCCTGGAGGAGCCAGACACGGCTCTCAATTTATGGCAGGGTAAATATCAAATCCCCCGCGGGCCAGAGGTCCAGGTCGAGCCAAGCGCGGGGGGCCCAGGGGCCCTCCGGGTTGGAAGCTCGAGGGGGCCTGACCTGGTAGACCTGGGACAGGTAGAAGTAGACGCATTGCCTGCAATGAACCTGGCGAATGCCTAGGATGTCATCAACAGACCGACGTCGTCTGATCCCAATATTCCCCGACGCTGGCGACTCCTCGAACTCGCGATCGCGAAACTGCCCTGGGGCACAACGAGCAAGAAACTCAAACCACGCTAGCAGCATCCATAAGGCCACCCCTGACGGCACACCACCAATCGGTAAACCTCTCAAGTCATAAACAATCCCACCAATCGTCATAGTGGATGCGATATCTGATGTTGACACTTTGCAATCATCAGGAGGTGCTGCAGAGTCCGCCCCCGCGCGCTTGGGGACATTCTTCGACGCGCCACGCCAGGCTCGACCTATCAATGTCGAAGTGCGCCGTTCATGCGCTTGACCAGCACCGGCAACGACAATGGAGATGCACGCCAATGGGCACGAGCAACGGAAGCACGCATCATCGGATGGAGGTTCCAGGTCACGCGTAAGAGATGACGAGCAGCTCGGCCTATGACACGATGTCCCGATGTGCATGGTGAATTCAGTGAGTTCTGAGTTCGCCTCATGCAACTGTGGCCTGGCTTCGCGCAGCGCCTAGTACCGTCGCGGAGGAAGCATGTACTCTTGACCGTGAAGAAGACGTAGAAGGTGCAGTTTTCTTAGATGGGCGCGGGAACATCGTCTGGGGGCGGGGCCAGCTGGGGGGCCCATGGCGGGCCCTGGTCCAAAGCCAATCCGCAGCATCTTGTCGGGATAGGTCATAACGTGCCTACCAATCATCATCAAACTCAACTGTTTGATGCAGCCGTCGCACCATATCGTGTAACTTTCTCATGTTGTTTGTCATTTGCAATTGGGGTGTCGCTGTTTGCCTGCTCTAGTGCGTCTTTTAGTTCACGTTCCATCTGCTGCCGTCGTCGAGAAAGAGGAGGGATAATAGCATTTAGGTCTCGTTGGAGCGGAGACGAACAACCACTTCTGCAAGTCATCCAACCCTCGTCGGATCGCCGGTCGCGAAAGTCGAGCGGACTGGGCCCGCTCTAGTAGTCCCGCTTTCGCGCCCCGAAAGGGTGCCATGGGAGCGTGCCGCACGAGAAGCTCCTATGGGCCTGGCAGCTGCTTCAAGTTGCGCGGCCCTGAGACGAACCTGGATGTCTGCGCCGAGGTCAGTAGTAGACCTGGCACCCCGCGCAGAAACGGCTGGCCGAGACGCGGTCCTTCCAGATCCTACGAGCTCGAAGAGGACGCGCCATGTTGGCCGCGCCGCGAGCGGGCTGGTTCAAACCGCATCTGATTACGCGCGGCTTGGGCCGATCCCTTGACCGCAGACTGCAGGCGCCGCGCCTGGAACTCGAAGGTGAGTTTTAAGACGGGCCTCCAGGCTGCAGGAAGACCTATGCCATTTAGGTGTTGGTCAATGTGCAACCTGGCCATCCGCACCCGCGCAAAATTGCGAAACAAATCTCGGGCCGGGCCCTCCGCCTGGAACAGGATCGCCCCCAATTCCATCCTGGGAAGGCGCGCGCAGACTGGAAGAGGGCGCCACTTAGCAGCTAACAGCGCGAGTGGAAGCCCAATGTGCTCTGGGGCGAGGATCCACAAGGGCCCTTTTTCACCTGCATTGTGGAGCCTCTCCTTGATCTGCAAGGTGCAGAGGGCGCTGCAGGGAGCGGGCCCCGAGAAGGCTCCTGGGTACTTGGCAAGAGGTCCCACGCAGGCCTGGGGCACTACTCCCATCAGACCGGGCGTCGCCATCGCCCATGCAGGGGGTGGAATCCGTCGAGGAGGAGGTCTCCGCCAGGCGGGAGGTCGTCGTCGCGGGGGTTTGACTTTGGGTGGGGCGTAGAGGGTGCCAAGGCCACGTCGTAGACTTAGCTGTTCGGACTCAGTCGCATCGGCTAGGTTCGCAGAGGGCCGAAATCATCGTGCTAGCAGCGTCTCACCATGAAAGCTCGCTGCTTCAGTAGGAGCCCATAGCACTGGAAAGAAGAAGGAGAGGGAACCTCCTGAGCGTCTAAGTTCTCGATATCGAGGTTGGTTACCTGGTCGAATTCGAAGGTGAAGGAGGGCGCGCAGATGCTCTTGGGTACGTCCTAGGAAACCAGGGATGCCTTGCCTATGTATTGCGAAGCGTGGCGTCCCGAGACGTACACTACAGCCCTATGAAGTTCACAACTTTGTCCAGGAACGCTCAGCCGGGCCGTCGAAACAATAGGTTCAGACCAATCATGCGCTCCTCGCCTCCACTCTGGAGGTAGCATACGATGCGCGCGACGCGCCCAA